AGTACACATAACTCTCGGATTTAAATCCGAGGTTTCCACATTTATTTAATGTATGTAATTAAGTAATTGAAAAGGTTAATTAAAATTTCATCCTATTACGGTCATATAAATATAACTTAGAAACAAAAAAGTATAATACTGATAAGCAAGTAAGAATCGAAATGGAGAACGAAACAAATACACAATAAAAGATGTAAGTGCAATCTATTAATAGATAAGATTGTATTCAGTCAGAATGATAGAAAAAATCATTTCTCAACTTTCAATGCAAAAAAAAACATAACAAGCAGACGGATAGGTTCAATCACTGGTTTGAACCTCTAAATCACCTTTAAATATATTGACGAATAACTACAAATTTAATAGCAGGGTAGCCTCACAACAGATTTAATACTTTTGATTCTGCATATTCTGGAAAGAGTACGAGCCCTTAGCTTATTGTTTTGTATACAGTAGTTTTAGTTGCCCTCAGGAAAAACTCATTTTCGAATTTCGAATTTCGACTTGAAACTTTACATACAGACAGTTCTTAACGAAAATCGATCATTTTGTTTTTCCTATCCTAGATACAAATTCAAAGACTTAAAACTTTCACAATAAACTATTCTCGTTAAGATCTGTCAGTATACAAAGTTTCAAATCGAAACTTGAAAAGGATTTTTTTTCCTGAAGAGTACTACGACATTTCTTTAAAAACTACTGTATACACAACAATAAGTCTAGAGCATGAATTCTTTTCAGGGTATTCATAGCTCACTAGAATGTACATACTACAGATCCTAAATCGATTAATACTTTTCTCGTTAGTTCAAGCTAATGCTTCACAGTTGCAGGTTTAATAAAAGAATAGTGAATAAATATGTTCTTAAATAGATAGAATAAAACACTCTCTCTATGATTAGCAAGAATAGCTACATCGTATTTTACATTTTAATTGCACTAATAATTTTTCAATCAAATTTAAATATCAAATCTCCATACAAAAAACAAACAAAATTTGAGTTCATCTTAAAATAATTCATTTTATCTCTCGATATAAATTCTTACCCAATCCCAACTAAATGAACATGGTTCTTTTCGAATAAATTGTACATGACATACACCATTTTGAACATTAGCTGTACACAGTGGTGGTACTGTGTCATTATATGCATCAGCTTGTTTTAATGCATAAAGAACAGGTGATTCAAAATCAATTTGAATTTCATTTTCAAGTTTTAAACATGAATTTGTTATATTAAATATATATGGTATAAACATACGATTAGTTCTACCAATAGAACATGTATTTAATGTTATATTAGCAACTGTATCAATTTGTTCTAAATGTATTGTAATTTGATTTGAAACAAGACGGTGAATGAACAGTTAGCAGACAGAACGAAAGAAATATATATATCTGACTCATTCTAGGCACGACACGTTTTCTCCATCGAGTTTGCGACACTATAATTTACGACACATTTATCATTCAACTATCAATTATAGAATTAGTTGATAATCTTTTAGATTATTAAATATTTAAACTGAATTAGATTTTCATTTATATAAAAAAAAGGAGTGGAATATCACATGAAGGATGCATATAATCCGAATGATGATCATAATGATCTAATTGAAATACATTCACTATAAACAATATTATTATTATGAATGTTTTTGATTAATGCGTTCATTTCTATTAAATTCAATGAATCTCTTTCAACTATGAGTTTTGATATTAAAAAATCAGTTGAAATTTTTTTTTGATTTAAATACACGAACAAAGACGAAACATATTGAAAAAAGTCTAGGATTAAGATCAATGTGATAATCAAAAATTAAACATGTTGATTGATTTATATTCAGTATTATTTATTCATATTTATTGAGAGTTATTAAATGAACAAAGAAAAAAAGAACACAACTAGCTTTAATGAAAAAATATATCTGAAGACCATATTTTACATACAAAACATTTATAACTTTGATGATGTAAATCATAGAAACATTCACCACAGATCATATATCCACAACCATAAATAGCTATACCATCAACAGAATTACCCATAATACTCTTACATAATGGACATATTAATGGTTCAGCCATAATATCTAGATGAAAAATTAAAAGGAGTTAATTTGGAATTGAACTAGAAAAAAATTAGAGCTTACTCCTTTTATTTAAATATAATTGACGAGATGAATGAGAAGAAACAGCGATGATCTATTTATAAAAAAAGGCAGAATTTAGAAAAAAGAATAAATTGAACTATGTGATGCTTGCCTATTTATATGATGTTGGAAGGTTGTAAATATTTCTTAGTTTGAATTTAATAATGAGTTTGCATATGATCTGAATCTCGTTTTTATTACCATTCATCTCCTCTAACATTTATAATCGAAACCACCTACTGAGAGATGAAAAACAATCACCTCTTCTGTTTCCTCTTTCTTTTTATTTTATTTCGTCTTTTCTCTCCTTCTGTTATTCGTTATTCTCTTATGCATCAATCAATTAGATTATGACTGAGGAAATTACTTCGTCAAATTATCATTCTTCCTATTCTGTACTGTTATGAATTCATCTAGCATCAAGATTAAATTCATGTTCAGTTGCAATTGAAATCAATCCGCTTTCGAATGAAAAAACTAATCAAGCAGTGCATAGACAACGCAAATTTGTTTAAGAGAAACAACAAATTAAGCGTTCAATTTCAGTATTTCTCTGTTTTTTTAAATATTCCTTTTCATTTCTTTGATTTATTTGTTTCCTCATCTAGCAAAATCGTTCACTTCAAGTAACAAATGTTGAATTATTAAAATAACACGACGCAAACATCGCTACCTCTCTACTGAAAGGAACTATGCCATCGTGCATACCTTGTGTGAATAAAGAGCTATGGATCTGCTATTCTTACACATACTTAAAGGAACAAAAATTAAAGGAACAGTCGATGGATATATATATATGTATATGATAAAGTTTCTAAAAAGACCAAAGAAGTGTAGATCAGTCATAAAGAAAATTTTCACACATCAATCGGTCAGTTATTCTCAACCAGCCTTAACAGAGTATTGACAGTCACTAAATGTTCATATAGGCAAAATAGCTAACATGATTGATAAGAAACTTTCTTATTTTCATATTTCTGCTAGTGTTCAGCGAGACTTTTTTGGCTCCCCTTAAAAATCTATGGTGAAAAACCGTTGGAAGTAAAAGAGAACTGCTATATATAGTTTGCCACATTATTCAGCTCAAATATTGGATAAGTCATTTCACAGATGAGTTGGTCTTGATGTAGATCATTTTTAACTTGATACTCCTCATAATTTAACAATAACAATCGAGTCAAGTGAGACCTATTTTGTCAGCTAAACTTATCATAGATTCGCGTTCCATAAAGTAGTTAGGTAATTCCATGGGGTTCCTCCCACCGTTACATATGTCATCTTCGATTAGTCTTCAAATAATATCATTGGATAGAACTTTTTACGCTGATCATTTTGATTACCAAAGAAGTCTATCATTGATCGTACAATAAGAGACAAACTCACAAAATACAAAAATACGCATTTTGATTATTTTCTCCGACTTCAAATGTAATGGTTTTCATTATTTTGGCGAATATGAATCTAACTATTTTTTCTAATCGAAATTTCAACTCCACATTCGTGTAGACCATCGAAAAATCTTCAAGGTCATCCGCTTTTCAAGGTAAATTTAAATTATTTTTACTGGAACCTCACCAGCTGCTCTTTTCCACTCAGTAGCTAAAACATGCGAAAATGTTTGCTTATCATGTCATTCAAAAATTGAATTCGCGCAGAAAGCCCGATATACACTTCGATAGAGGAGCTTCTGCTCGATCGACCTATATAAATAACTTTTTATGGGAGTATCATTTTCTATGAAAATAGGAGGAAGAAGAACAAAAAGAATGCTGCTGTTTTTACATTTTTAGTAATGGGAGTTTTATATTGTTCAACTATTTGCTCTAATATTTTGCGATCAACAATAAAAATCAGCTTTAGATTCAAAATCAGCATTAAAAACTGCATCGAATGAGGTACTTTGAGTCAGGTAAAATTATTTTGTATGGAGTCTTGGTAAACAGACATTCATTCTACATTTATGTTGCTCGTACATAAAACTTTGCTAAAACCAAGT